AGTCTAAGCCTCGAAATCTGTTTTCCTTTATATATATAGAGATATTTTTTCTGAAGGATCTGCTACCAAATTTGAGCATTTTGCTTGAAGAAATCACTTAAATCAAATTTCGAAATAAATAGTTTTTTTTTTTTTTTATAAGAATATAAAATTAAGGAAACAATGCAAATTCATAAATTTTTGTACTGAAAGGTAAAAGTTGCTATTTGTTGGGCTTAAACAAAAGAATAGTTAGCTAATCATACAGATCCACTGTGAGATTTTTTACTTTTTCTTGAAGGAAATGTAGGTAAATTAAATACTGTCGAGTTTTCTATTCAGATAAATCATAGATTCAATATATACATATATATAGATACATGTGAGTATACATATATGTACATATTTTTAATATATGTACCCTGTCTTATAATAAACATATATATATATAAATATATATTTGATTTTGAGATTTGTTATTTTTTGTTTGCCGCCGAAATTCCATTTGCGTTTTTGTTTAATTTATGCTTTTTGTTTATTGCAATAGTTTATAATATTCGCTGTTGTCATTTGTTTGTTTGTTTTCTTTGCAATTTTCAGTGTTTTCTGTTTCTGTTTGTATGTGTTATGGATTATAGATGTGTATGTATATACGACCGCGCATGGTGTATGATTGAAGGGCCCAAAGGCGCTGTTTCAATTGTCATATACATATATAAATATGGTTATTGTTTATTCATTTTGCCTGCGATTTGCTTCGATGTTGATGTTGTTGTTGTTATTGTTCCTGCATTGATTGTGGGWCTGTTACATTTCCTCAATGAAAGCACGCAATTTGTCCATTAGTGCTCGCGGATAATGCTCAAATTCCTGCTTGAACCACTTCTCAAAAGTGTCTCGGGATATTACCTCGCAATCGTAGAGCACACTCCAAGCGCTACAGATTGCCTCACCCGCAGCCATYTCATCGTCCAGCTCGAGGCTAAAGTGCTCCTGCAGTGCGTCGACTGTCTCCTCAATGCATGCCATCTCGTGCGTCTCTTGGGCATCAATGCAGAGGCGCAATAGTGGAGTGCAATCCCGCCTGAAACTGTCCACATTCAGCTGCAATTGCAGTTTATTCTTGTTTGTGTTATGRTTGTTGTTGTTGTTGTTCTTTTTGGTTGATTCATTGATTAAAGCGAAGTCRCAGCAGAGGAATTTGGTCAGGTGGCGCACAAAACTCGCATTTATATGCACATTGGTATTGATATAGTCAATGGCGGTGTCGCTAGACAGCCGCAGCAGGTAGCTTATCCGCTCCACATGCTCCGCCTGGGTGCGTGTAACCTTTTGCCGCTGCATGCCAACTGTCGCTGTGCTGTTGGGCTCCAGAAATTGAAAGCTATTCGATTGCAAAAAGTCACGATACTTGCGAGCATCGCTCCAAAACAGCTGGCCTCGATCCAGCTTGTTCTCTATATGCCATAGCTTGTGTGTGTATACGGCGCCAAATTCTTGCACAAAGTAGCTGACAAAAGCGCGTACAAAACGTTCAGTGAACTGCGGATCCTCCAGCCAGCGCGGCTGCCAAATGTCCTTCAACTCGAGTCCACCTTCATGCATAATGGGTCCGAGAAACTCAAACACATAGGTCCAGCC